ATTCCTAAACAAATCAGGCGGTAGTAGAAGTCATTTGAAGATGACATTTTGGAAAGTCAGTAACTGATAGAGTTAAATTTCAGGATTCTTATGAAATGTCAAAGCGGAAAGTAATCTATAGCTGCTGGATTAGAACAAACCCAAATATTTTCAGTTTTCCATAAACTGGAGTTTTTGAAAAATCTGTTTTATTTAGAATTTTGAGGAAATCTGTTTGGATATCTCAGAATTTGTTTAGTGCAGGGGGATGTTTTGCCATTCTGACTTTTCATGTCACACCTATGAAGGCAGCGCATTATGTGCCTTGCAATTACTGATGCATCATCGGATGACATAAGAGATGCAATACTTTTTACTTTTTACTTTTTAATTGAGAGGTTTGGGCTCGATACTGTCTGAGCTGCCTTGCCTTTGTTTCCAGATCAAAGTGGCTCCTGTTCATGTCATAACAAAAGAGTTTGATGGCTTTGCTAAGGCACAAATGGGAGCCACTTTGATCTGGAGCAGAGAAAGGATGTCTCAAATAGTACCAGATAACAGCTGCTCTTTGTAATTGTAATGGAAAATAAAATGAGAATATTTCAACTATTATTCTTGTCACAATATGACATGAAACAGTAACTACTTCTGATATGCAATTTAATAGGTGAAAATAATATTATTAGAAGGGAACTCCATAAAATAGAATGATTTTTTTTTTTTTTCCATGGAGAATCCTTTGTTTACTGACAGACAATTTTCATTAATACACGTTTCATCAACAGCTGAATTCTGTTGCAAGTGTCTTTGGGATGGAAAATACTTAGTTTGACCAAAAAATTAAGGAATGGCTCTCATTAGTGTGGAGTCCTTGGTGCTCAGATGCAGAGATATTCTTGCAGATGTGCCCTGTGTCAGGGGACAATGCAAGAGCTTTGCTGTGCTGGGACTAGGAGAGGAATGCTGACAACCATTAGAAAGTGGGGAAGCTGCAGGATTTCCTCCCGAGAGAGATTCTCTTGCTCAGGCTTTTCCCAAACCAGCATGCAAACAGCCTTTGTGGTCTGAATTTATGCCTCAGCGATCTTACTTTGTGGCTTTGACCGATGTCTGTCTGTGCTGAAGAAGGCTAGGACAGGAGGGCAGGTTTCCTTCGTGCGCCAGACCTGGGGTCTCACTTTCCTCCCTCCAAACTCAAAGGCTCGCTGCTCATGACAGGTTGTGTAGCCACAACCCACTGAACATCTCCCATCACCCCCTCGCAGGCTGCTGGGGCAGGCAGGGACCCGACATGGCCCCTCCCCATGCCCTGCGGCATCCCACTACTTCAGCCTAGCTGCCAGCACACTCGGAGACATAGCCAGGACCAGAGAAGCTTGCTGGGATTTGGGGAAGGAGCCAAAAGTTGCATTCTGCTGCCAGCCAGCCGGTGAAGTTAGCTGAAACTTCAGGAGCTGTCAGTGGGATTTCTGGCCAGCCTTAGCCTCAGGTGCTCTGCTGAGGAGCAGCAAATAAAACCTTAATTATTTTGTGTATGTAAATTGTCTCCTGAAACAGGCGTTTGGCAACCCTAATGGTTTTCTTCATGACGGGGTGTAGCTAGGCACTAAAATAAGTCAGTCTGTAGGAGGGATGTGAGGTGGGAGATAGGGAAAACTCTTTTTATATTACTCCCCTTGCTATATTAAGAGACACTGTTCCCTTTCCTGGCTTGAGAAAAAGCTCTTCCTTGCCTTGCAGAGGTCTCTTGTCCTGGTTTAACTGCTCAGAAACCAGGATTTAGAAATCCTCGGTCGTGGCATTGCCATCCGTGTCCCTGCGACCCGCAGGGACGTGAAGAGGTCTTAGCTAAGTCCGGCAGCAGGATAAGGCTGTGGCAATGCCATTAGCTGATGCTGAGGTTTGGGGCTGCCTTGTGTCCTGACTCAGTGGCTGGTTACAGACGGAGAGCATGTGGGGAGCTGGTGTTATAAAGAGGTTATAGGGAGGTTTGATGGCTGAGGGGGACCTCAGGAACCTGGATTACTTCTTCCTTTTCTCCCTTTTGTTTTTCCTTTTCTTTTATTTCCCACCTGAAGCTCACAGCTGGGTGTTGCTGGGGGTGAGGCTGCTGGGGGTGGATGACTTTGGATGGACATGTTTTAAGTAATGGCACCAAGCCCAGAGCTTTTTGGATGGGCGTCACCTTCGTATTGTGGAAACCAAGGGAAATAAATAGCAGATAGGTGACTGTTACAGGTGAGCACCACCCTGTAACGGTGGCAATCTGCAACCCCCTCAAGCACTCCTGCAACTCCTTGGAAATGAATCATGAGATTCTTAACCTGTGACCTCCTCATGTACACAGTGGTGTGCCTACTGGGCTGACATGACTTCCCTACCTCGCTGGCAGCCTGGTGTGCTGCTGGAAGCCAACACAAGCGAGGAGGAGCCAGGCTGTTTTCTTCCTGAAGCGAGTGGGAGCAGGCAGCGGGCGATGCTGCACCCCCGCTTGTCACGGCTGTTGTTTTCCACCAGAGAGGGGGGGAAGAGATGCAGACATTGCGAAAGCTGGAGCGCACGGAACCGCTGTTCCTCCCCTTAAACACAGCCCAATCCATCACACTGCCCAGAGCAGTGATTAATGGATGCACGGTGTTCCCAACTAGAAAAGATTGGTGAAGAGCAGAGGCTGTGCCAAGGCCAGGGGATGCTGGATAACGCCCCCCTCAAAAGACACTCCACTGCATGTAGAGATTTATTGTTGTTTTTCCACAAAGCCTAAATATTGAGCTGCAGTGGAGGTGACAGTACCTTTTATTTCAGCAGGGTTTAAGATAGATAGCAAGTGAGTCAGGGGAGTGATCCCACAGATGCATATGCATATTTATTCACCCTACTCAGGAGCATAGACGTTTGTGGGATACAGCCTTAACACAGCATCTGAAATCACACTGTTTGTCTAGGTATTGTTATTAACACCTACCCATAGTGAAAGCGTCATCACTTCTACACAAACCTACTTCAACAGAGCAAACGCAGAGGAGAACCTGCAGCTTGGCTTGTAAGATGCTCTGCCAGAGCCCAACTCTGCATCCCAAAACTGACCGCCGTCCTTCAACAGTGAAAGTGAATAAACTGTGAGGGTCAGGGGGCTCTGCGGTTCAGCCTTGTACCAGGGTGCAGCTGAGATCCCCGCTGTGTTTTGGCAGGGGTAGGAATGTCATGCCAAGGACCCGGCTGGGAGGAGAAGGAGGAGGAGGGAGTGGGATAATTCAGCTCTTCCCTGCAGGAGTGATAGCTGTTTGAAGGGGCTGTCTACTACAATACATAGCACCTGGGGCCGGTAGATACCCAGTCCCTGTGAATACACTTTCAGGAGTGCAGGAAATACATAGAGTCATAGAATGGTTTGGGTTGGAAGGGGTCTTAAAGCTCACCCAGTTCCAACCCCCTGCCATGGGCAGGGACACCTTCCGCTAGAGCAGGTTGCTCCAAGCCCCATTCAACCTGGCCTTGGGCACTGCCAGGGATGGGGCAGCCACAGCTTCTCTGGGCACCCTGTGCCAGCACCTCAGCACCCTCATAGGGAAGAGTTTTTTCCTCATATCGGATCTCAGTCTCCCCCGTTCTGGCAGGTTAAAGCCATTCCCCTTGTCCTGTCCCTACAGGCCCTTGTCCAAAGCCCCTCTCAAGTTTTCTGCAGCCCCTTTAGGCACTGGAGCTGCTCTAAGGTCTCCCCTTAGGAGCCTTCTCTTCTCCAGGCTGACCCAGTCCAGCTCTCTCAGCCTGGCTCCAGAGCAGAGCTGCTCCAGCCCTCACAGCATCTTCATGGCTTCTTCTGGGCCTGCTTGAGCAGCTTCATGTTCCTCTTCTGTTGGGAGCCCCAGAGCTGAATGCAGGACTGCAGGGGTCATCTCATAAGATCAGAGAGCTTCTGTCAAGACTACCTTATAATGACAAATATACTGGTAAAATGGGGCTTTTCCAGTGAGCTGATCCCTCAGTGGTGTTTAGAGAACTTCCACCTTTGCTCGCATTGTGTAAAGGCTGATTTACTCAGAAAACCGAATGTGTATTTTATAGTCTGATATAGCATTATACTGACTTTCAGTATTAATTCTAGAAATGATCCATTTCTATTCTTGGAACAAAACCCCACCAATTTTCTGCCATAAGGACCATATTTACCTTGTGCTTTGTGTAAGAACAAGGTGTCCATTCTCCAACACTGGGAGGCAACTGACCCAGTATTTTTCAACAGGCATGTTTCTACAAGTAACAGGTAAGCCATTTGTTAGCCATTGCATCTATATAAGCGTCATCCTGTATATTCTTTTTTTTTCCTCTTTCCCCAATCACTCACTTGTCCTATTTAGAAAGCGCTCCTGATGCTATGTGGAGCCCCAATCTGACAGTATGAATACTGAGTACATGCAAGACTTCTTCCTACAGTATCAGGTGTGCTTTGTGGATTAGACAGTAGAGTTCTCACCAGATGACTTTGCTATAAAGCCTCACGAAACCTGTTCTGACAGGGGCAGGCGATCTCCACACAGAGCCTGCTCACAGCGCTGCCTGCCTTGTGATGCTCAGGTTTATTTTTGGAGCGCTTGGAGTCTTGAATGTGTTAGGCTCTGAGATGCCATTTTGCTTTCTCCCGAAATAAATTTGCAGTCTTTGTGGTTGAGGGCAAAAATGGCAAGTTTATGTTTTCTCCTCATTGTTTAGCTTTAAACAAGAACCATCTTTTAAAGCTTTTCTTTTTATGTACTTCAAAGGAGGAAGATGAGGCGCTTTTTGCTCTGCAGATCACCTTGATTTCTCATTTGCCATACTCACACCAGCCTTTTGTTGCTTGGTGAATGGAACCAAATACATGAATTTTTTATCTTTTTTGGTTTTTACATTTAAAGTGAAATGAGCTGAAGGCAAATAGGTGGTGCTGGCATAGCTGGGAGAGGGACAGCAGCTACCCCCTGTTCTGCTGATTACATTTCCTCTGGGCAGGATGGGATACAGCCTGTCCCTCCTTGGGGTCTTTGCTAAGTATTCTGAAAAGAAGGTACAAAGCATATTTAAGCAGTACCTACATTTTGACCTGTTTTCTTCATTGCTATGTTAAGGACTTTCCTCAGGAAGGATGAAAGAGGATGGGTGCTATCACACACTGCCTAAGGCATTGGTGAGATTGAAGCCTTCCTTGCTGTTACTGGCAGTCATCAGCAGAAGGTAAAGGTGGGTCAGACTGCCTTTTGCTTTGCTGCTTCTGTGAGCGTTCTCTGTTGTCAGCTTCTTCTGTGTGAGGTTGATCTTCACATCAGCAGGACATCAGCAGTCCTGTAATACCAATGCAGCCTCTGTTTATGGCAGAGGGTACCCAATGAGGGAGTTGTTCTGCCTGCTGTGCTAAAAAGCCATGTAATTCATTGTGGACACAGCTGGGTCATGTATCACATGTGTAGGAGATGTTACAGGTTTCCTTGTTGTTGTAACTAGATGGGATGTAAGAGGATATGTGGTGCTTACAGACATGGTTTAGTGGTGGGCTTGGCAGCGTTAGGTTTACATTTGGATGCAATGACAGTAAGGGTCTTTCCAACCTAAATGATTCTATGGTTCTAAGATAAATAAGTACATTCAGGTATTAAAGAGGTGGGATAACACCCTGTGAGGTGTACGCTGCTGCTGGGGTTTAAACTAAAGGACTAACTCTCAGGTGTTGCTATGCAGAGATTAATTGAGATATTTAACTTAAGGGTGTTTAGTCAGGTTTAGTGTGATTTGGTTTACTAGTGTTGGTGCAAAAGCCTTTCTGGCTGCCTTAATTTGTTTAGAAATGGTATTAATCAGTGCTAATTAAATAGACTAGGACCACATTCATGGTGAAATTAGCTGCTGTCAAGCTAAATAAATGTTCAAGAAAGGGTTTGACCTAGTTTAAGAGTCAGTGGCTGGGGGAATACAAAGAGCTGGTGGTGGAGGGAAAACCTGTCCTGTGTGGCAGAGGGTGTCTGTGGGCTTCTTCAATGCCGCGGCTCTTGTGCCGTGGTTCTTCCCAACAAGCCTATTTTCACTCCTCTAAATTGATTTCATTCCTGCCACGAGCTGCGCTAGCCATGCCTGTGCTTAGGCGCCCGCATTGTTAGAGGCTATATTGAGTGCACTTTTGAATGCTGTACCGATGTTGTTTCTTGACATCCAGCTTTCTCCCTGTGCCACAGTGAGTGGGAACAAATTTTCTCCTGTTCAAACATGGCCAAGGCGCTTTCAATGGCTCTGAATGGAGAGGGAGAGCTCGTGGTGAGAGCGCTCAAGTGCCAAGGTGCTACAGCCACGGTGGAGAGGCAAGCCTGAAAGTAGGTGTTCAAAGAACACAGATGTGTGAGCCTCCAACAAAGAGAAACAAACATTTTGCCTTATCCCCAGAGACATTCAGCCCCAAACCCTGACAATGTGCGTCTTGTCACAAATAAAATTTGCAAAGAAAAGGTATTTTTAAAGAAATAGCACAAATAATCAGGGAGTGCTGTGGGAGACCATGGGAATGCCATGAATTTCAGCATTCATGTTGGCTTGCTCCAAACCTCTGCTCCAACAGGCGAACACCCACCTCTGTGCCTGCCCACGTGTGCGGCTGTCACGTTCCTTCCATGTCCCGCATCCCCAGCAGCCCAGGATGCAGGAGATTAATGCCAGCAGAGCAGACTTCTATTTATCTTGATCTTCAATAAAGACAATGTGTATGGAAATAAATGAATAAACAACCATGTTTTAACTGCAGCACCTCTGGGGTGTACCATTTAGAGTTTATTTGTTAGGAGTAAAAGGAGAAAACAGTCAGTTTACATGCTTGTTTGTGATTCTTTCCCACTCTACTAATACACTGCGTGTCATTTATAGACTGGGAAACAAAAGGTCTCCCTCTTGAGCTTCGATTGCTTTACTGTTTCCCGCTTGGAAGCACTGCGAGGGACCAGGAAGGGCAGAGTGCCGCTTTAAGTGTGATGCTCAGCAGCGCTGACAGCCATCAAAAGTATTTGAGGCTGTTGCAACCTAAATTACTATATAATATCCTTTTTTTCTTAAACCCCCTGGTATCACAGACTGCAGCTCTGGCTATTCAGAAGACTTGATCCAGCTTCCAGTGAAGCTGGAGAAAACCTGGGTTCTGCCCAAGGCAATGTGTTTTAGGCCGGTGTGATGTGCTGTTCTCTCTGGCTTGCACATGTTGCTCCCATTGAGCATGAAAAAGCATGGAGAAAGTGCAATGTGATTGAAATCAAATCATGTAATGTTTTTTCTACCTCTTCCTCTTCCTCCCCCCCAGTTCTCCTGAAAACAAACAAAACCAAAAGAAAATGAATGAAAACAAGCCGGGGGGGGGGGGGGGGTGTGTGTGAGAGAGGGAGGGGTTATTCAGTACCTGTGTGCTACGTAGTTATAGATTCCCCAGAAGAAAGCCTGGTGGCTGCTGAGCCCTGCTGTGCTCCCCAGGCTGCTCAGCCAGTTTCTTTCATTTCTGGGGGTTTTCAGGCCCGGGGGACGGCTGTATGTTGCAGTAAGGGCTGGTCACCCTCCTGGTGCAGATGTTTTTCCTGTGAAAATCTACCTGGCTGAAACTCATGCTTCACTAGTACGAGATGTTTTAAATAACAGTCATCGCGCTCCACCAGGCAGAGCATCCCCCATGGTGCATCCCCATGATGAATGGCCTGGAGATGCAGTGCTACTTCTATTGCCAGCAGCTGGGGAGAGCTGAGGCCAGCCACATGGAGTGGAATGAGCCCCTGCTGACTTGGTTTAAATAAACCTCCAGCTCCCAGAACTCCTTTACAACTGGGCTGTGCTTTGCAGGGGGAGATGGATGTATGTGGGTATCCTCCACCCCGCTGGTACAGGTGTGATGGCAAAGCTGAGACCCATTAGGAGGATGGATGGTTGTGTAGGGAAAATAAAATGGTGAGCCTAAGCCTTAGCCAGCAGGAAGCTTTGAATCTAGCAGCAAGGTTCGGCTTTCAGTTACTAATCTGCTCTGCAGAAGGGAGTTAAGCTGGATTTATACCCAGGGAGCAAGAGGAAGCAATTTAGCCTTGGGTTTCCCATCTCTAATTGCATGCCTGCAGCCTCTACTCACAGGGAGACGATGGGAGCTTTGCCAATGAGCTCAGTAAGCTTAGGTGTAGACCTCCAGTTTCACGATTTTTTTTCCTTAATATTTAGCATTTTAGGCATGTCTTGGAATGATCCTTGTGACAACTTCATGAAACCCATCTGGCTTCTCTTATTTTTTAAATTATCTTTCAAATGCATCTGTGCAAGTCTAAATAAGCCATCAACAGTGCTATAATGTACACTCTGTAAAAGCATGAACCTTGTGTGCTCAGTGCTTGTTACCACCAAGTGCAAATCCACCAAGAAAGGTGTTTGTAACTGGGCCTTCTGTCCTCGATAATTCAGGTGGTATTTGTACAGATAAATCAGGGCACCAAAGCATTTATTTGCTTTCAGTGACAGGCACCATCTGCTACATGCCTGCAACGCATTCAAGAAGGGATCCTGCCCGCCTGCTGCACCAGAGAGGCTGTGGCAATGAGAATAGTAACAGTGGATTTGAGAGCAACGTTTGCAGAGGTATACATGCAATGTCAAGTGCAGGCATGGCCAGTGGTCCTGCCTGCTGGGAGTGGAGGGGCAACGGGGTTAGCTCATGCCGAGTCTGGCGCGGAGGCAAACAGCCTCCAGGTAGGAATGAGCATCCTCTGAGTATCCACACTTACCCACATCAGTGGCCCCATAAACCACATCATGGCTTGAAGAGATGTCAGGCTTAGAGATGTTCCCCAATGGCTTTCATGGATTCAGTTGCAAGTGCTACATGTGGATAGATTGCCAGGTGAAAATACTCAGGAGGAATTTGGGTGTACCCCCTGGGGCATAGCTTCAGAATTTGGGATAATGAGGGGCCACAAATCTGAGAGGTAGTAGGTATGAAATCTTACATGAGCACAGCATCTCAGAGGTAGCCTGTGTGTCATTATTGCCTTCCTCTGTGATGGCAGCCAAACTGCACAGCCCTTGAGGTGCCCAGGACTAATCATCCCTGATGCCTTAATTAAGCTGTGCTGCTAGTGGCAGGCTGGCTCCTGCTCCTGCTGGAATGGACATGTTAAGGTTTGGCACCACCATGGAGCCATCTGCAAAGTGTGGGAGAGGGTATTGGGCTGGTAGGGGTGGGAAAAGGCTGCGTGATACAGTGCTTGCAGCAAGTGGGTTTGGAAAGGGTTTCTGAGCATCACTATGACCTCATATCTCAGAATAATGTTATTCTTGATGTATGTATATATATAGAATATTTTTTGAGTACAATAGGTCTTTTTAATGGGAAATAATTGCTCTTCTTTTTGGATAGGTAAGCAATTCACTCCTAGAAGTTCCCATGAATCTTCTGCTCTCGCATGCCCATGCGTTACAGCAGGGTCAGCCCTCCGTGAGAGTCAAATTGATGCGAAACAACATACATGTAGGCTCTAGTCTACTGGGTTTAGATCAGAGACGGATCAGATGACTCACAGGAATCTATGGAAATAGATCAAAGTGGCAGCACACATTTGAAGGGAGTGCTTGCGTTCGGTGCGGAGCAGGGATTTTTGACAGCGGCTGGGTGCGTGAGTCAGAGCGTGGGCCAGCGTGGGAGCATCTGTGGGAGTCGGACCGAGACAGACGCAGAGGGATGGCTGCAATTAAGTGCTTAGTGAAATGACTGTAATAGTAAAATGAATTTAAAGGCACAGGTTGCAAATGCGGCATTCCCAAATAGCTGCTTCCCAGCAGCTCGGGGGCTGGCGGGCGTTTCCCGTCGGGTGCTCAGCTCCAGAAGCCAGCTATCCCTGCTGATGTGGGAGTTATCTCAGGCAGCTGCTTGCTGGAAACTGGATGTTTTCCAGCTGCCGTGTACACCATGAGCAGCTCATGGGACAGGTGGTGGAGCCCTGCCCTGGGCCGCAGGCACTGACCTGCAGACTCCTGCCAGGGAAGGAGAGCCGAGGGGAGGAAGAGATGCCAAGCAGAGATGTTAAGGGAACAAGGAGTGGAGAGCAGATCTACATTTACTGGGAATAGTTGCAGAACACCCACACACTTCTGTGGGACTAGGATCATGCCCAGAGCTCACAGAAAAGCTCAAGTCGGTGGGGGTTTGTCTATGGTGCCCAATGCTAGCGTTTCTAAAGACTGGCACTGGATCCCCTTCATGATGTGACTTCAGTATTCCAATCCAGAAAGCCCACTCTTGGGATTTACCTCTGCCTTTGCAGCAAATGCAAACCACTTGCAGTTAACTGCCTCCAAGGGACCTGGATTTGGCTCCTTTGTTACTGGTGTCAGTGCCCCTGTGATGGCAACAGTGCCTGTATTACCCTGGTTTGCTGGCTCCCTCCCTGCAGGACCCCACCTCTGGGCAGCCCCATATAGGAGCTTTCAGGGGGAAGCAGAGTGAGACTCTCTTCCTCACTGCTGTTTTTAGGCATTGCTATTTCATGCCCTGTCAGTCAGATATGATAAGTGTGCATGACATGAGAGAAATCTGATTAAAACGAATAAATCAATAAACTCTTATTCAACAAGTGATGCAGGAAACATCTTGTAGCCACAAACCTGCATAACCAGCTAAATCTCCGTGCATGACCTGGGCAAGCGATTGGCAGTAGCAGATACCTGCCTGGGACTGACGTCTGTGCTTTTGATGTTTACGCCTCATTTCCATGTAACGGTGCTGCTGGCTTAATTGATAGTATCACCTTACTCGGGTCTGTTAGTAATTTTTATGTGCTTTAAGGGGAAAAAAATGAAAAAAGTCATCCTCCAAAGCCAGCTTTGCCATTATGTAAAAGTGAGATGAGAGGGAAATAGTTCCCTATGCATTTTCCTGCTGCATTCAATGATGAATTGTAATTAGATTTCCTGCCAACGAGGGTAAATGGCTCAGGCATCTCATAAGCCATGAAACCTCATGTGCTGAAACACAGCTCCCAGAAAAGATGTCCTCCAGGGCTCCTACAACTGGGTTCCTGCATGTTCTCAGACTGCCAGTTCAGGATTACCCGTGTGCTCCAGAAAAACCCTTAGCTTCTAGTGGAAACAGTCTGTGTTTGTTGGTGGTATTTTAATAGAGCATTTCCACGGATCTTTTTTAAGATATTGCTGGGTAAATACCTATTATTTCCCTGCATCCCCCTTGCTGACCCTCCAAGGAGATGCACATCGTGGGGATTTCCTTCCCCAAGCAGATGGCTGTGGAAGGAAGGTTTTATAACTTATTGGTATTTTTATGTTTTGGGGATGTTCTGCAGAGACAAGGGTCCACAGGATTGCTCCTCACCCTGATTGCTACACAGAGCACATTTTAGCAGGGAGAAAGGGTGATGTTCTGAATAATCAAATCAAAAAATAAATAAGGCAGCCCTCTTGAAGTAGTAGATGTGTAAAGTTAATGTATTTTTTGAAGTGTCAGTGTAAGTGTTTCTAAATGTGTCCACTGTAGCATGAGCAGCCCACACAGCATTTCCCAGCGTTTGTGAGCAGCACTGTCCTCTGCTGAGTGCAGTCAGAGGCCACCGCCAACACAGCCATCGCCGGCTCCAACCCCAGATCTCCCTTCGCTTCTGGACAAGTCGTGGTCTGCTCTTTGTAGCTAAAGAAGGCTGCGCTGAAATGATTACCCAGTCCAATACCTTACAGCCAGGTATCCCTGCCAGCAGGATGGACAGGCAGCTGGTGATGAGCTGGGATCACCAGCTGGGTGATGGATATCCTGGATGGATTTGAGGAACTGAATGGAGGGCAGCTGGAACTCCGGCAGTTTTGGCTACCCTGGTGCTCACCTTATTTGCTGCAGTCCCTGGGTCACTGCAAGATGTTTTGTGGAATATAAGTTACTTGAGATAGCCTGGGTTTACTTATTACATAGCTTTTTATTTTGCCCTTTCATTTTCAACAATATCTGGTTTACAGAAGTATCACCTATCGTAATTTGAAATACTTGTATTTCAACTTCTATGTTAAGAAAAGGAGAGAAATTTAACTGCAACATGGGTTTTTTGGAGGCAAATTTCTGTTCCTGTCTGTTCTCAGATCGGGGTGCAATTACAGTGTATGGGAACTCAGAGTTCCATTTACAAATGTGATTGTCAGGCAGTCAGATGTACGCCTTGGCCAACCTCTGAGACCTGTAATTTAGCTGCTGCCCTGCCATGACACTTGACTCTGGTTTAATTACAATGATCGCTCAGTCTGGAAAGCTATTCCAAGGGGACCGAGGGCTGGGCGAGTGGAGCTCTCTCCTGCTTGGAGGCTCTCCCCAGAGCCAGGGCTGCTCCTGAAACCCCTCGCCCTGCAGGTTGGGCCGTGGTGGCTCTGCAGCCAGGCAGGAGTGTTTTATATTTGATGATAGAAGCATTGTAGGTTTAAAACCAGCTTGAGATGACTGCCCAAGGTCTGGGAGGTAGGAGGGAGCCCAGAGCCATTAACTGATGGAGTTTTCTGCTTTCTACTTTTGTGTAAAACCAGGCATTAGTACAATTACTATTGCCATTATTATCTATTGGTTTTCCCCATGGCAATTGGAGCGGATGTGTTTTGCAGGGACCCCGAGCCTCCCTGACCCATGGGGCTGTGCCTGTACCAGGCCATGTCCACCTATGCCCCTGCTCCATCCTGCTCACACTGACTCAGCCTCCTGCCGCCCCACCTTTGCACCAAAGCTGCCTTTTGCTGCTTCTCCACTCACCGAATCTGCCTTATTTTTCCCTTTTTCTCCTTTTTCTGTAAGGCTCGTGAAGCAGTTATAAATCAAAACCATTCTTCTCGCTGTTGCCCTCCACCATCTGGGTTGACCATGAGTGACAGCCTTTTGCCATGCTGGTTTTTCACCTCCTTGCACGTGGTTCAGTCACGATGTCTACTGGCTTGTGGATCTGCCCAGATGCCCCAGGGATGGTGCCAAGATCCTGGCAATCTTTAAAAACTTGGGTCTTTAAAAGTACTGGGATCCCACAGCCCAGCAGGACCAGCACCCCCCTTGACTTTCATTGTCCTGAACAAGGTGATGGGGCACCAGGTAGCAGCCTGACAGGTGATCTAAGACAGCAAAGCTCAATGGTGATGAGCTCTGTGTCTGGTTTTAAGTCACCAAAAGGGGCAGTGGAATGTATCACCTCACCCCGCTCATTCCCAGTGCTGGGGGCACATTTCCCAGTGGAGCAGGGAAAGGGGTTGCTCCGGCTGTGCCCCCAGTGGTGGGCCAGATGCAGTCAGCAATCAGGGAGGAACAAGAGAGTATTTTTTCCGTTGTGAACTCACACAATTTTCCATTTAAAAAAGATTACACTGATTTATTTTTAATTCTATTTCAGACAATGTAAACGAGTATTATCTTAACGTTGCTTCTGCTAAATGTCATAATTGCATAATTGCTAAAGCATTCCACTTCTCATGTTTTGGAAATCGTTGATTCCAAACCATCTCTTTTCCTAGATCAACAGTTCTGCTGTTGGGGCTTCCCTCGTACTACGCTGCCAAATAGCTGCAGAAGGACGTGGTGATGGTGAAACTCTGATCACCCCTCACTACCTGTGCTGTGCAGGTTAGGGGAAAAATAACCAAAGGTTAGGGAGAAAATTAAAGAAGTCCAACTCAAACACCTGTAATCAAAGGGAGCATTGAGATGAAGAAGGGAAGAAGCAGAATGGGTGAGATGCTATGGATGCAGGAGGCTAATTTGTTCCCACCAGACACTGTCCTTGTTGCCGCAGAGCTTTGATACAGCTAAACAATTTGGCTGTGGCTGCCCCAGGCTCCCAGCAAATGCTGAGCGTGTGAAGAGGTCAGTATGGCTAATGGTCTGTAAATGTGTTTAATGCACAGGGGTTTGGCTGTGCTGGGACTCGATGACTGTGGGAGCAAACCAGCTGTGGGAGGAAGACAAGAGAAGCTCTGACACATGCGGCTAAAACCATAAGAATAACAATCCTTTTTTTTTCCATCCAAATATATACACTCAAAAAAACCCTTTTTAATGATAACAGTTCCCTTCCTGTAAAGGAGGAAGGGTTAAGTCATGTTATAGGTAGCAACCAGAAGCACATTTCTTGCAGGTTGGGCTTTGATCAGTTAAGACTCATATTGAAAAAATCTATGTGCTTGTAGCCTGGTCTTTCTGCAGGCGAAAAGACATATGAGGAGCAAAACACAACTGTGCTCCTCCTGGTGCCTTTGAGCTGTGATTAATACAGATGAATCTGGTGTAACACCTTACCAGGGTCCACCAGCCCTGCTGCCTGCCCACAGCTCTGCCTTAGGAGCAAGGGGCACATGAGCTGCCTTAGACCTGCGGGACCCTTCTCTGCCTCCCCTTCTGCCTGCTCACCCTCAGAGCAAGGAGAGAGGGGTCCTCTGGGCCCCATGCAGGGTTACATGCCAGTCCCTTCACTGATGGCGCTGCCCTTGATGAAGAAAGCACAGGGAAATAGTCAGTCATTGCAAAAATATGTCAGAGCACAGCATAAGTGACAGCTTCAAGGCAAAATCTGGTTTGTTTTTCAGTGTAACATTAGCCTTCCTTCAATGTCCATTAATATGTGGTTGAAAAGATGACACGTAATTTTCTTCTGATTTTTCCTTTTTTCCTCTTTTTCAGTTGCAATCACTTCTATCTCTGCCCTGTCACAAGGCTTGGCCTTTGCTCTCCAGAGCTGTTACCTCTGAGCAAATATCCTTCAGCAGTATGCTTTGTACCAGCTGAGGAGCAGCTCTGTGTGCCTTGTGAAATCCAGTTTGGCTACACATAGCATTTACAGAGTGAATCTGTTTGCTTAAATAGGTTTCTTATTTTATCACTACTTGAACATTGGTAGATGTTTGAGTGTCAAAGTCAGTTATACTCCAGAGAGGAAGGTGGGAACAGTTGGGTGTTTGCTGCCTGCAGCCGCTGCACTGGACTTGCATGAGGACATGTTCTCTGCAATGAGCCTCTTGGAGCTGCTGGTCCCAGGATGAATGAGGCCTGGGAAGGGAGAGAAATGATGATGGGGAAACAGACTGATAGTGAGATGGTGGAATGATGCGGCCATGCATCGCTTGAGCAAAGCGAATGTTTCTGCATGTGTGTTTCCTGTCTGCTCCTCTCCCCTGTGTGTGTACTGTGTGTGCATGGGAGACTCTGCCCTGCATCCCTGGTAGAGTATATCCATCCTGAGATGACTTCACTTGTGAGCTTGCTTCTTGTCTGGCAACAATGAGTGTGGGTCACTTCAGTCCCAGCGCTGCAGAGCATTTCGGTGCCGCTTGTGCTACTCAAGCTGTGCTGCTTGCTTGCTCCAAGTCAACAAAGCACAAATCTGCGGTTTTGTTTCCCGAGGTCTGTACTGGAAACCTGCCTACCAAATAGAGAAGGAGAGGGAGGGAGCAAAAGCTGTCCTGTAGTGGAAGCACAGATAGAAGGACCATCTCACGCAGAGCAGAGGAGGTGCTGGCCACAGGAGGGGTGGCAACCCAAACCTTAGCTGAAGCAAGTGCTGGGGCATGCCTGAACTGGCATGGCTGCTGCTGCAGAACGGTTCAGCCACAAGGAAGAGGTGCTATAAACCAGCAACAACAGTGCTGGTTTTACAAGTCCATGTGAAGTGTTGGCCCTGCCTAGTGAAGGTTGTGAAAGGCAGACAAATCCTGGGACCAGCAAGGAGAGCTTTGGACAGAAACTTAAACCTCCTCTTTATGTTTTTTCCTTCCCCCCAGCTGCAGTGAGTATATTAGTCACCCTGATGTTTTATTTTTAAGTTTTAAAGCTTTGTGGAACGTTTCATTTCAGTAAAACTCATGCTTTTGTTGTCTTTTTTTCCTTTTTATATATTGAAAGACTCTTCTCTTGCTTACAGAAGGTTGATGAAAGAAACGCTAGCTACCAGCTCATACAAATGAATCATTTCTATTTCAAGGTATTTCAGGTTATCATCGGCTGGTGGAGCCAGCAAGCAGTAGATAGGGCTGGGGATGCTTGGAGCTGGGGGGATGTCAGACATTCATACTCCCACACTTTCACGGGGCTGTTGAAAATTGATACCTATGAAGCATCTATCTTCCCCTTTGTATTTGGTCCAGGAGGGGAACAGAGTACAAGGCTGTATGGATTCTGTAACGGATGCCCACTTTTCTGGAAGCAAAGTTAGAAGCAAAACCTCTCTCTCAAAGTGAGATAACATGGCATAATTCTAGAAGAGTTCTGACTTTGTGAATTGCACTGATCAATGATTATATTTAATAGAGTTGTAATTGTCATGATTTGCTTCTCTCCTAGACATCTCCTAGACTTTGTAGTGCAGCAGCTGCTTACATGGAGAGTTTCCTCAGATAACACGTACTCTGGGTATTAATAAGCTTACAGTTCAGGACTCTCCTTTTGGGCAAAGAAATGGTTGTCACTCCCTCTTACCAGTGGTCTAGCAGAGCTGAAGGCACTTATCCAAGGCCAAATTCCCTTCATCCCGGTGTCCAGCACAGGGTTTCCCCTGCAGAGCTGAGGTCCAATGGCGTGGCTATCACCAAGATGCCTCAGCCCATGGTGTACTTGGGGACACCTTTCTCAGGCCTCCTGTGCGAAGTCCTCAGGAGCAGGGGAGTCTGCAGTGCAAGTGGTGGTAGAGGTGTTGCTAGCATACACCCGTGCAGGTGTTGCTAGCATACACCCGTGCAGGTTTCCTTCCAGGAGGTGATGCTCTGAGAGAGGTGGGAATTAGTGTCTCTGCTGTGCAGCCATGCTGAGGCCCATGGTGTTTCTGGCAGGCTGCTTGAGGAGAGATTCCGGTTCCATAGGACTCCACTGAGTGAGAACAGCTGTTGAAGTGCTTTAGAAAATGACCTAGATGGTGTTTACTCAAAGCTTAGAAATTGTCTTGAGATGAGAAATCATTATTTGCCTGTATTTCTTTTGCTCACCATTCACAGGTCACATCTTGGAAAGGGAATCTCAGTGCTTCCAAAAAGAAACACCACCCAAACCCTTGCTCTCACATGTCCTGCTAAAATCCCCCATCCATGCGTGTATGCTAAGTGTTACTTGTCAGGCATCTTTGCCCTTATCAGTCATTATTCGTATGAGAAAGCAAGCTGGTGTGTCCTGTTAGAGAACTGCCTAGTGAGAGGTGGCTTCTGAAGTGCTATCCAGGACCCCTATGTGGAATGTAATGTGTCTGTAAATGATGAGGATCATAGCTGACAGACCTCAGGACCACCTTGAGCTCGGGACAGGCTTGTTGCCCCTGGGGAAGGGGACAATGCAATGTCAGCTGAGACATCTTACTTCCATCTGACACCTGCTGGTAAAGGAAAGGCACGGCTCCCTTTCAGAAAACAGACCTGCTTTGTGGCTTTTTATTTGTCCAAAAAGCATGCATCTCTTACCACTTGCCTGTCCAGGCCTTCTTGGTGCTCTGATTTGATATTCTCAGTACTCTGACTGATTTTGGCAGTTGGAATGTACTTGTCCAAGGCACCTATGTGTACAGGACATATCTATAGACATCATATCTCTTTGACTCTGCAAAAGATGAGCTTTCCAAAGAACTCAACCCCTAAACTCATTAAACTTGAAAATGTTTCATTGTCATTTTGCTGTAAAGATGCCATCAGCTTTGTACAGCTTTTGCCCTCTGTGTTACCTGAACTGCCTGCTGCATTTGTGGAGGAAGGCACTAGTGATGGAGAGGAGGAGCATGGAGACCCTGTGACTGCAAGCCTGCTAACCTCTATGGGTCCCAGCAAAAAATCTTGTGCAGGAGGGACCTGCTTGGTCCAAGGGTGCTTAAATGGCATTTTGTAGAGCTTGGATGGGCCATGGAGCTGCCAGGCATACTCACACATCAGTGCCCTGCTCTGGCTGGAGCAGTGAGGCTGGAGTTGGGCAGTTGAACTAAAACTGGTGAGCACCTTGTCCATGGAGGCTGGCTTTGTGTCAGTCTGCATTTGATGGAAAAAACTATTCTGCGTACAATATCTGGTAATATTTGTGGTGAGGACTGTTTTTTGGCTACATGGAAACTACTGGCTTGCTGAAGGCCTCTCTCTGCTTGTGCAAATCCCACTAAACTTATTCTTAAATCCAGTATCATATTGGCCTGAGTACACTGGCAGGTTTTAAACAGGGTCCTGAGAGTTGTAAAACCTTGATTTACAGTGTCGCTATATTCTTTGGCTGGCTGTTTAAGAGGGGTATCGTTCAACAAACAGCAGTTGAATACATTCATGTCAAAGTCAAATCATTCCTTTAAAAGGTTTGGTTGTCAGGTATTCATTAAAGAGAGTTTCACATCAAAATGATAGTCACTAATACAGTGAAAACATCTTTTATAGCTTTCAGAATTTTTTATGTTGCATTGTAAAAATGCCAAATCTCCACTGGTACAGAAACATCTTCCTGGACCTACACTGTAGATACGACACTGCATTTCTCTGGTCCCCTTTGGAAGAAAATGAAATGGTGTATCCGTGTGGTACGAACAAAGATATTCCTGAAAGTCTTTTGTGTAAATAGGGCGCAAGGGACTGTAGCTGCCAGTTTAGCGTAGCATTCCCATTGCTCGTGCAAACTGATTTTTACTTTGTAAACACTAAAAGTGGAGTTTGTCTTTTATTATCTCCATGAAGTGAAAATTACCTTTCTAACTTCATGGTTTTTAAAGTAACTGAGCTAAAAAGTAGTTCTGGCTTAAGAAATGGAAAGTCAGTGGCAATCTGGTCACTTCAAGCTTTGGTGCTCTAGATGCTTTGGAGAATTTCACTCATCTGGGAGACTGCTAGATCAGCATTTAGTACAAACCAGCCCTTTTTTTGCCAGCCTCTAGGCTGGAGAATCCCAGAGGACACAGCCAAGGCTGCAGTGGCAGGGGGCACTGAATCCAGGTTAATAGAGCTGCAGCACGCTCAGCTGTCCCTGAAAGTCAGGCAGGTGCCTAAATACAGATCGAGGCATCTCACTTTAGACTAGCTATTTTTGCAGCTCCTGGCCCTGGTGTGTGAATTGATGGCATTTCAGTTGCAAAGAGCAGATGGTGCTCGCAGTAATCCAGGACAGCTTTTTTGCATTAGTGTCAAAAACAGATCAAATGCCAGCTGTAGCTCTTTTGGGTCAGTGGAGGTGAACTCACAGATTGATGTGCACAATATTGCAATGGCAGGGAAAAACCTGGAGTTCCTATTAGCAGCACAAAGTGCTTTTAAACAGCTTTTCAAATTCTATTTCTCCTGTCCTTTTGCACAGCCCAATTCTTTGTGTGTCCCAGCAGTAAGCTAAATTGCCTGATACTATAAAAGTATTATTCTGCATAGATTCAGCTTTCAGTGTTGTGCAATTCAGTCTTTGCATCCAGTTCTTGGCTTTGGCTGTGCTGCTGATGGGGCACTTCCTGGAGGCACGGTTCCTTCTTAACCCCATGAGCTGGAGAAGTCGCTAAATTTAGTGGTTCTAAGCAGGGTCTGGCGGGACCAGGGTGGAAGAAGGAGCGGTGGTGCCCTCGTTTGCCTTCCCAGGAAGTCTGCTTTTAGAGGTCCTGGTGGGAAGGCTGCCAAGCTGATTCGCCTAAGAGCAGGCAGCGTAAAGAGGAGGTTGAGAGTATTTTGTGTTCATTAGGAAACCAGAGGTGGTTTCCGTTTCTCAGCTCACTGCTCATTTTATGCATTGAGGAAGTTTAGTTGCACTCTTTGTGAGAGACTACAGAGAGGTGGTTTAGTGTCAGCAAGGGCGATCCTTTTTCATGAGTTTAACTGGGGGCATAGCCTCTTCTTTTTATTGACTGAAAAAAGCCATGATGCATACAGAAGAGAGTTTGCATCATTTAAGGCAAAACATGAGTTGTTTATGTGCAAGAAAGCTGGTCTGCAGGCACACCCTGCTGGTTTGTAAGGAGAGT